AATTTAGGATTGAGTTTAGTTGCTTGAATAATTAACTCAAAAAAACTAAGAGGGACATACGATGGATACAACTGAAGAATCATAGATAATGTAAATTCATCAAGACACTGTATTAAGGTATAGCTTTGAAGATAAAAAATTGATTCATATTCCTTTTTGGAACGAAGTGTATTCATAGTAACAAAATAATTATAAGGAATTGCTTTAACATATTCATTAATCAACACAATAGGAATTTCTTTTTGGTAATTAACAAATGCCATGAATGCAATTAATTCTATATAACAAACAGTTGGTATATCATTAATTTTATTAATGATACTATTTAAGAATGAATAAGATATTATGTAAAGATCATTTAAAGTTGTTACTTGAGAAATAAAGAAAGAAATAACAATGTGAAGAGTGTCACAACCACGAGCAATAATAACATTAGTTAAAAATTTCATCAATTTACAAGTACTATTATACTCTATGTTGTTAGTATCTATTGAAGTAAATCTACTAAATTGACTTTTAATTATTTTAAGTAATTCGATAATCACATTTGATGGTATATAAGGAAGGATTTCTGGTGGAAATAAAATAAGATCATCAATGATTTTATTTTCTATATAATGAGTTGTTGTTAATAAAGTAAACAAAATATACAAGAAATATGGATTTTGAACAGTCTCGATTTGAACTGAACTAAATGTGTTAAATGGAACAGTCACTAATGTTGAAACACATTGCATTAGTGAAGAATAAATTTCATAATCAAATGTATAACTTTTTAAGACGTTGCAAATTTGGTTCAATTGATCTGATGTAGGCTGAAGTAAAGAAAGCATTTTACAAACCAATAAAGATGTTATCTTAGAAGTTTGTGCCAATGTTATAAAAACACTAATGTGTTCATTTAACATGGAAGATAAATTGCCATATCTCTTTAACAAATAAAAGATTATTCCTACAATATTTTCGATTGCACTAATGGATAAATAAGGATTTTGAAGCATACAAAAAACCTTTCCAAGAACTGTTGGAGTTAAATAACTTGAAAGATGAATTAAATATTTCCATTTCCAATTCTCATTAGAAGAACATATTTTATCAGTTAAAATAGATAATATAATTTCAGGTGTTAGTGCTTCTTTTACTAGACCTTTATCAATAATAGAACACCTTAAAATGATTTGTTTTATATAATATTCAAATAAGTATTCAACTCCTCTCCATAACCTGATATCTAATAATAATGGAATTAACGTTACAGCAGAATATCCTCTTGATATCAAAGATAAGCATAAATTAATAAAGTCATCTATGATAGACGTTGAAACCAAATAACTTTGAGCAATTTTTGTTATTTCAATAATTAAAGTGATTGCAACCCTTTTATCGATTACTTTACAGTGTAAAAATAATTGAAGAATTTTACCAATATTTGTAGTAACTTTAGTATTAGAACCACTCCTCAGAAGTGGTAAAAAAACTGATACTCCTCCATACGTTGAAAACACATCACTTAAAGACCGTGTTACAACAACAAGAATATTAGTTGGGGTACAAACTGTTTGTTCTATAATTTTGATTTCTTTAGAAACAACTCTGTTCTTCATAGATTTTAATGGCTTAATAAAAGAATAACTAGGTATTGCTGCATAATTCTTAGGTGATAGTAATAAAGTAGGTACTCCATTAGGAGTGAGTTGATTGAAATACCATGCCAATGAACTAATATCTCCATTAAAATAAGAATATGTCTTAGAGTCTAAACCTCCAATAGAAATAATTGCTTGTTTTTGTTTAGAAGAAAAAAAAGGAACACCAAAATCTTTTGATGATTCACCATTAAGAATAATTTTCATAGAATTAGAATCATGTGAATGAACTAAAGAAATTGCATTCCATTTATCTGGAAGTACTTTTAATTCTGTTTTATATGTATTTCTGATATGTGTGATTGATGGTGTAATAGATGGTACATCAGAAGAAGCTACAACATTAATTTCTAATTCTAAAAAATGTGTTTTTCCATCTATAGAGAGAGAAAAATAATAGTTGTTAGCATTAAAAGAAAAAAGACAAGGGGTAGCTAAAGGGTGAATGTCATGAAATCTAATTTGAGTATAAATAGTATAATATTCTTGTGGGATTGAATCAATTTTGATTACAGTAGAAATAAAAGAAGCAACCCCATTAAATGAATAGTATACCTCTGAAGAGTTATTTTTTATTATAAGACAATCTAATAGTGAAGAAGAATGAATTGGTGGAATTTCATTGTAAAAATTAATTAAATCTTGAATAATTTGTTGAGAAGTATGATATTTAATAATTGAAGTAAGTATATCAACACCAGAAACAAATAATGGATTAGCTGCAAGGCCTTCAGCATCCAAAGGTTTGATTTGCCTTAAAGTAATGATTAAATTTCTTATTGCCAAATAATCAAATTTCGTCATATTATTAACTGTTAATAAATGTTTTAAAGTAGAAAAAAATGTAACAGAAATAGATTTTAATGTAAATAATGAAGCAATATCATCTCTTATTGAATAAACAATAGAATTTAAAGCAATATTTTCATCGTACTGAGTACCAGTCAATATTGGAATGTATTGTTTTAAAATTGATTTATCTTCCATTGAAGAGGATAAGTACTGATATTTAAGATCAAAAAGAAGCCAAACGAACAAAAAGAGACTAGTTTTATTATTTTTGTTAAAAATCTGTTTTTAAGTGAATTTAATTAAATGAAAAGTTTTTTTGTAGAAAAAAAATAATAAATCTGATATATAAAACAATTACAATTTTATTTTTATTTCATAGTTACAAAATGGTGTATATTTATTGTTGTTAGTAATTATTATATCTTTCATGTGATGCAAAATATCCAAAATCACGAACCATTGTTGTTAATCTTCGTGGATCATTTGGTGGAGGTCTTAGTGATAATCGTGGTGATTGAGAAGTATTTGGTGATTGGAGTGAAGAGGCAGAACGAGCTCGAGAAGGATCTTCAGAGTCTGAATTAGAAGAGCCCCAAGAAATAAATGATTCATCCTCTGCCATATTGTGCCATGAGAACGTTGTTCTACCAATTACTTTTAAAGGCTTAAAATGAAAAGGATTAGTGTGAAGTATATTCATAACATATCCACATTTTAGAGAACGGATAAATGCTGTAAAATAGTTATGAGGAACTGAGAAAAATCTGTCTCTAGATTGGAGATAGTTTAAAGTGTATTGACCTCCATATACTTTTCTAACAACATCTTCTAAAGGAACGTCTTGTGGAACTAATGGTAAAGGTAAAGTTAAAAGTTCTTGTTTTGTTTTTGATTTAATAAAAGGATGGGTTAATGCTTCTGATGGTGTTAATCGTTTAGATGGATCATATTCTAATGTTTTCTTTAAAAAATCATGTAACAATGCCCTCCAAACTTGGTCATTATCATGAACAAAAGCATTTCGATGCATAGGAACGTGTTGACAAATTTGTTCAAGAGTTTTATATCTGAAATACTTTCTATTTTCTTGTAATTTACAATTATTTTCTTTTTCAAATTGTTCAGGAGGTTTTATTTTAAAGGTAACTTCATTTCCCTTTTGAACCATATTAAAGTATTTTTCAGTTTTTGTTCCTTTACGAAGAAGATAATCTGGGATTGGTCCTAACATATCAATAATCTTAGTAAGTTGATTGTATTCATTTTCCCCTGGAAATAATGGAATTCCAAGAAAAAGTTCTGCAGCAACACAACCAAATGACCACATATCTATTGCACAAGAATAAGGTAGTCCTAAAATAATTTCTATTGCACGATAATGTCTAGATTGTATATATGTATATAACGTAGATCTTTCAAAACAAGCTGAACCAAAATCAATCAATTTAATATCACTTGTATTTTGAACTAATAATACATTTTCTGTTTTAACATCACAATGTATGATATTCATTGTTGTTAACCCATGAAGTGATTCTAATAATTGTCTTAAAACATGTCTATTAAATGTTAACCCCATTCCATTATTTTTATTACTTCTTAACATATCATATAAATTAATTGATAACAATTCTGTGACTATACAAACATGTCCATGAAACAGAAAATAATCTAACATTTTAACAGTATGATATTTATTGTCAGGATCAACCAAATCTCTTAAAGCAGTTAATACAGCAATTTCAAGCATTCCTTGTCTAAAGAACACTGGTTTTGATTTGAGTATTTTAACAGCTACAAGACTATTATCTTGGCAATTCCTACATTTTAAAACTTGTCCAAAAGTCCCACTTCCAAGTGCAGAGATAACAACGTATCTTGACTGTGGAATAAAACAACAAGTCTCACCTCTACAAAAATAGTTAATCTTATTCATTTATTTTAACAATTTACTAGAAATAATGCTAAACAAACTCTTTGGAAAAAGCAGATCCAATATTATCATCAACAGAAATGATTAACTCATAATTTGCGTTGTCTTTCCCACCATTATGAAATGGTTCAACTATTCGTGATAAAACTTTTTTACTTTTTTGTGTTATTTGTTGTACATTTTCATTCTTGTATGTCAATGAAATATCTAATGTTAATGCGTATATTGGTCTGCGTCTTAATGAAGTTCTTGGGGTTGTAACAAAGGGGTTGTAAGGGTGTTCAGGTTTCATAGAATTATATTGGCAGTTATAACAGGGTTTTTCTAAATAATTTTAACATTTTCAAAGATCTTTACTTTCATTTGAGGTCTGACAATTTTAAAGTGTTTTTTGTTATTTCTAATTCTGCTTTTTTGTTATATAGTTATTTTATTTTTTTTTTTTTTTGTTATTTAATACTCTTTTGCCGAAATCTTATTAAAAAGTAAAATTGAATGAAACAACTAAATTATTACAAAAGTCATAAAAAATAACTTCTATAACAAATTTAATTTAAATTAAACAAAGAAAAATAAATTACATTAGCATTAAACTTCTGTTTATTACCTATTTATTTAATTAGTTGTAAGAACTGGAGATAACATTTGTACCCAATATTGTAAGGTTGACGGTGTTAAATCTTTGTATTGGTCTGGATGTTGTTCAATTAATACACGAACTGCTTTTGTTAAACCTAATTCATAAAACTTTTTAACAGCATTCATTTTAATAGCTTGACACCATCTTTTCTTTCTTTGTACTCTTTTTCTTGGATTCTTTCCATCAAACACTTCAAAACTTGTTGGAGATGCTGGTTCAAAAACTGAAAGATATGACCTTCTCATTTAAACTATAAACAAAAGTTGAAGATCCTTTAAATACCCTTAGACTAAATAACCGTTTCTTTTTTCCATCCCTTCACAACTATAAAACAAATAGAACTTTCTGTTCACTCGAAACACACTAATGTTTCTTACATTTCAACTCGTTGTCAATTTTTCAATTTTTTTTTAGAATAAATAAAAATTATTAACTACTTCTAATCTTTAATAGAATTTCCCGTTTTTTCAAACTTTACTCTTTAATTATGAAGTTTGTTGTATAACTAGAAATTCAAATATTTATTGTTTCATTTTTCTTTAAAATTATATTTATAATAAAATAATTTATTCTTATATTATCCTTAAAAAACTATTTTTAATAACCCAATACGATTTCAACTCAAATTCAAACTTTTTTAAATCATAAAACGAGGGTTTATAAAAAAGAACTTGAAAAGCAAAATCTAAAATTAAAATTAAAAATTATTAAAAAATACAAAAAAATTATAAAAACTTAAAAAATAAAAAATAAAAAACTAAAAATAATGGAAAGAAAATTAAGACCAGTTGCATTAGCTTATGTTTTATTTGAAGAAGGAGACATTATTGGACATTTTATGGGATATATTTCAATATTACATTTATTTGTAATCGGAGGAATTGTTAGTATAATTTTATTAACATTTGATAATTATGCTATTTACACATTTGGAGTTATGTTGACAAATGAAATAATTAATTACATTCTGAAAATACTTTTTAAACATCCTCGTCCTCCTTTATCACAAAATATTAACGAAGGATTTCCTTCTTCTCATGCACAGTTTTGGTGTTGTTTTCTTGTACTTTTTTGTTATTATACAAATCAACAATCAAAACTTACTTCAATCTCAAAAAAAATTATTGTTTATTGTTCTACTTTATTAATTCTTCTTGTTGATTTCTCTCGTTGGTATTTAAACGATCATTTTGTTTATCAAATTGTTGCTGGTAATGTTATTGGAATGTGTGTAGGTTATCTTGGTATTATTTATTATCCTTCATTTTTCTCACTTCTCTCTCAATTTAAATTTTTTATAAAACAAAAATTAACCAATTTCAATTTGATAACCTCTCACCAAAAAGCTTAAGTTCTGTTTATTCAAACTAAAAAGAATTATTCATTAACCTTAATCTAAATTATTTTAAATTTAGTGTCATTATACTTCCTCTTTGTTTTTTCATAACATGTTTCACTTACTTTTGTATTGACGTAAAACATTGTATGAGCGTAAGAATCACTCTTTCAATATCTTTTATAATAACTTTCATTACCTAATTAAAAATCTATTTTTTTATATTTATTACATTTTTAATTAAATTATTAAAAAATTGAATTCATGGAGGTGAATATAGAGCTAAGACTCGGAAGAGAGTGAAGGGTGGGATTTAATCTCACCTGAGCAAAATGGAGTAGAGAAAACATATCTACTGGTACTTAATTTATTAATTTTTATTAAAAAATTGAATTTAAACTGAAGAACAATATTTTATAAGAAATCAAAAGTTTAATTTAATTCTGAAAAAACAAGTGAGAAAAATTAATCCCTATTCAAACACCTTTTCTTAATTAACTGATACAATACAATGACTCTTAAACTAAGAGAATGTAATTAACAAACTTTAGAAGAAAAAAGAAGATTAATTTTTCAGTGCTTCTTTATATTATTTAACTTTAAATGTTTAAAAAAGGATAAATAAAAATATAGAAAAAAGTATTGGATTGAATTACATCTTCAAGAAGATGACACTGAATGGTTCCATATGACAAGTACCAGAATATGATCTTCCAGAAATAAGATCTTGTCCACTTCCACATTGAGTATCGTATGTGTATGTTCCTACATTGATCAAGACCTGAATTCTATTTGATCCAGATACTTTATCAACTTTGTAAAGGGTTCCTGATGCATTTTGATTTTCTCTTCTTCCTTGATATAATGCAGGATTAGATGCTCTAATATTCATTAATTTTGCAGTAAAATCATGAAGGGCTTGTTCATTTGAGTTAAATCCTTGAATATGTCCATCACTTCTAGCAGCATTATCATTATAAACTCCTCCACAATCTCCTGGGTTATAATAGCACTCTACAAGATCTCCAACTTCATCTCCATAATAAATAGTAATTGGTCCTGTATATGCAGCAAGGAATGCAATTGCAGCTCTGTGTCTACCCCAATAATCATTATTATCTCTACCATATCCATATTTCTTTCTAATTAAATTACCAAATCTCAATAAATCATGATTGGTTATAAACATATTTGGATATGCAAAATCTGGATATCCTGCATTAAAGATACCATTTAAGTTTGATGCATCATATCCTCCTTTTCCAGATTCTTCACATGCTAATGTTTGAACTAAATTATATCTTCCTGGGAAATGGAAACATGATCTAAGTCCATACCCACCAGAGGCATAATATCCCCAATTATTAATATTAGAAGCAGAGTCCCAAATTTCTCCAACCATATATCCAAGAGTTCCCCATTGTTTTCCTTGATTCTTTCTGTTATCACATGTTGATTCAATAACCTCTCTAATATCCTTCCAATAGTTTCTGTCTTGATTTCTTGTAGAAACTTGATAAGCTTGATCTAATCTCCATCCATCAATTTCATAATTATTAATCCAATAAGTAGCAACCTCTTTATAAAATTCTAATGATCCTGGATAACTAACTGGATCATTTCCTCCTGTTGGATATTTTCCACTTGGACTAGCTGCAACATTTCCTGATTTGTGATGTCCAAATACACCGTCAAGAATAACATATAATCCAAGGTTATGTGCCTTATTAATTAACTCATGAAGTTCATCATTTGTACCAAATTTTGGATCTACATTAAAGTAATCATAAGCAAAGTATCCAGTTGAATCTAATTGACTTCCTCCATTTGAGTTAAAGATAGGCGTCATCCATAATGCATTCATTCCTAAATCTTTAATGTATTGAAGAGAATTAATAATACCTCGTAAATCACCACAGTGTCTTGATGGTCCATATCCAGTACAATATCCTCTACCTGAATCACCATCTTGGAATGAACTTACCATAACTTGATAAATTCTAAGATTATTAAAAGCATTTGTATCAATTGCTTGAGTAAATACTACAAATAAGACAATTAAGAGTTGTAACATCTGATTGAAGATATAAGTTTTTTCGAGTTGAAATACGCTGCATTTTTCAAGAAAGTTTTATCCAACTTTTCCCTATTATTTTTTAGTATTATTAAAACTTCTTTTTGAAATTTCTTTCCATCCAATTTTCTGTGTTTTTTTTAAAGTGATTTTTCTTTATGAAATACTATATTAATATTATATTATTTAATATACTATTTTTTTCTTTGAAAAATCGTATGGTAAAAATTGAAAAAATTCTTTTGATGACTTTTATTAAAATTTATGTTATTCTTTTTGTGTTATTTATGTTTATAATAACAATTTAAATTATAAAAATATTTTCCATTTAAACTTTTCAATTTAAATATACAAAGAAGAAATTCACTTCAAAATTAGTAAAATAAATATTGTAAATAAAAATTGATTTAATTGTTTATTTAAAACTAATATTCAACAAATAAAATATAAACTTTAAAATAATTAAACTCAAGTGAAATGTTTAAACCAAGCAAACTTATTTTTTTAACTTAATACATAAAACTTTTATTATAATACTCATATAATTTTAATAACTTAATTTATTAGGTACTAATTTTCTTAGAATTATAATATTTAAAATTGTAGTGATAAAGAAAATAGTACTATTACAAGAGTAATGAAAAAAGAAAAATCAAACACATAATAAAACAAAAATAAATTTATTGTATTTTTTAAATGATAAAATGAATTCATTTTTCATGGGAAAATACAACTTACTAATCAATCTAGGAGATTCTGACGAGATTGTCAACACTATTCTATTGCCAATCCGCTTTATCACTCCAATGTATATTAAATTTTATAATTTTCTTTAAATATGTTAGGTCTTGTTTAAGGGTTTATAACATAAAATATAATAAATTTAACTAAACATTAAATTAATAAAACATCCTTCATTTTTCCATTGAAATTAGATGAAAAGTATTTGAAACAACTCCACGAGTACGTCGTTTACCATGAGCAAGATCAGCCAACGTTTCCTTCTTTGTAACAACTGGTTTTGGTTTACTTGAGTTGGAGAATATAGGACCTAATTCTTGAGCAGAACGATTAATAATTTGATCAATTAAATAATAACCATCTTGAAGATTAAGGTCAATTTGACAAGAGATATAGTGGATACTTGCTGGAATTTGGTTGTACTTATTGACTAAGGACTGTGTAAAATACTCATTTAAAGTTACACTACCAATTTCATTCAATATTTCCCTTACATTGTTTAACAACAACACAATAGAATTGAGGTACGTTTGTGGTAATGGATCACAGCCTTCTTTAAAGTTGAGAGCAAATAACAGTCGTAAATGTATTTGAATATGATTAATATAAAATAATTGAACAGAACTATCAGAACAATCCATCACATTAACTGTTTTAATAAGAACATTACTTTGAAGTAATAAATCATTTACTTGATTTAATGGCATTTGTTTTAAAGAAAATAGTGTTTTATTGATTTCTATTTCAATACCTTCATTTAACCCATCAATACTTATAGTTTCTTTGCTTTCTATATACTTCTCAATAGAGTCCTTTAATTTCCCAACAACTAGCAAGTATCCATCTCCTTCCATAATCTTACAATGGACACTGAAGAATAAAAGAACTAATATTTTATTTCAAAAGTACTACAAAATTATTAATTTTGAGTTTAAAAAAAATCAATGAAAAAAAAACAATATTTTTTATCCTCAACAAATTGTTAAATTCATCTTCTTTCACAAAGGACGTCAATTTACTCATCTAGAATTGAAGTTAGCATGTCCAGCCTTTGGAAGCTTAGCATTTGACTTCTTATAAGTGTTAGTAGCTTTCTTTCCATTAGCCTTAGCTTCTTTTCTTGCAGCTTCTTTCTTTGCAGCATTTTCAGCTTTCTTTTCTTTAATCTCCTTAATGGCAGCGTTTCTCTTCTTAGCAAGAACTTCAGATGATTGAGTTTGTTTTCTTTTAGCAATTTCTTCTGCAGAAATACCAGCATATCCTCTATTAACTTTAATTACTCTTCTAGTCTTCTTCTTTTCGACAAGTTCATTTTGTTGTCCTTTCTTATTTAATTGTCTGTAAATGGCAGTCCAGAATACCTTTCTTGGATTAGTCTTTCTTAAGAATTGCATAAGAGATTTCTTGTTAATAAAAGTGAAACTTTTAAGGTCTAAACGTACATATTTACGTCCCTTGGCAACTGGAATTTTGAAACCACTGAAAGCACAGACTTGAGTTCTAATTTGTGAGTCTTTGATACATTATAATTTTAATTAAATTTATTTCTATTCAAAACAAAAGCGTGTTGTAACAAACTTGATGGACATCCTGTGATTGTTGAGATAGGGTTTTTTCAGTTTCAATCTTCTTTTTTCATTCTATTTTTTATTATTACTTTACTATTAAATATATCTTTTTATTAATTAATATTATTTTATTATATTTATTTTCTATATTATTTTTAGTTCTTTTTCTTATTTTGTTATTTGATCTTTTTTGTTATTATTATGAGTGAGATAAGAAAGAGGGAAAATAATGAATATGAAATCAATAAAGAGAATAAAAAAAATGAACGCCCATTGATAGTGCTTGATGGAAAAAAAGACGGTGATGGTTCTTGGAGTTTGTACTGTAAAGAAATAAGTTATGTACTATTTTTTTCATTAATACCAACAATAGTATTTTCTATTCTTATGGCTTTCTTTATGGTTTATATTGGTTACAATAAAAAAGAATAATTAATTAATTTTTCTTAAAAAAATTTTTGTAGAAGTATTCCCTTAAAAAAAAGTAATAAAAGAGAAATATATAAAAACCGGATATTTTGTTTATTTGTCCTTCTTTTCATTTCCAAGTTCGAAATGTTTGCATCTCTTTAAGCATTTTTGGAGCTTATACTTGCATTTAGTACATTCGATTTTCAAGACAACTTTCTTTGTTGTTTTAGCCTTCTTCTTGAAAACTGGTTTTGTTTGACCTCCAAAACCTTGTTGCTTACGATCATATCTTCTCTTACCTTGGACATGGAGTGAGTCCTTTCCCTTTTTATATTGAGAAACCTTGTGTGGTGTATGCTTATCGCATCTTGGGCAATAAGTCTTTCTGGTCTTTGGAACTACGACCATCACAAAGAACTAGTTTATAGTCAGTTCCTCTTTCTTTTTTTCATTAAGGGTTTTTTCCTTTTAATCATTTAGTATAAATTAATTATTTCATTATTATTTTTTCTTTTTTCATATAATTTATTATAGTTATAGTTTATTTGTTATTACTTTCTTTCTCTTAGCACAATAAAAAATTTTCTTTATAATTAGTCAAAAAACTATCTCTATTTAAATGAACGAAGGCTTATGTTCGATAAAGCCTATATGATATAAATTATATGAAACTCTATTAATAAAAATTTGTATAGAGAACATAGTTAATAGAGTCTACTATTTTAAAAAAGTTTAAATAAAGTTTATTTTTAGGAAACTTAGATATCTATAATCTTATTTAGAGTATATTTGTTACTTTAATAGATGATACTTCAACTCATAACCTTTTTAAAACTGAAGTATCTAAACTAAAAACAAACAATATAATAATTTTGATACAGTTTATAATTTAAATGTATTCAATCAATTGTTTTATTTTTAAAAATTTTTTAAATAAAAAAGTTCAAATATTTTTGATGTTGAAAATAGATAAACAAAAAATCAATATCTTTGAGATAAAAAGGTATTTAAGTACATTTTGTTTATTAAAAGATAAATAAAATGGGTTTTTTATTTAAATTACTGTTTTGTATTTAATTTATTTCTCATACGATTCTTTTTCTTTTTAATTATTTGTATTTGTCAATTCCAAGAATAATGAATTAAATACTTTCAATTAGTGAAACAATAAAAATAATATCTACAGGAATTAATATGAAATTTTTTTAAATATCTAATGAAGATATTTTTGTATAGTCAAATAATAGAATAAAATTAGATAAAATTATACAAAGGATTTCCCATAGAAAATAACAATACCTTTATTATGATTAATCAGAGGCAAGTAATTATTAAACGTTATTAAAAGAATAATTTCAGTTATGATAAATTATTGTTGAAAATAGTCAAACAATATAATTATCCAAAATGTTATTCTTTAAGAATTTTTCAATTAGCAAGGCTCTATTCTCAATAAATAATAAATTATTATTCTTATTCTAAATCTTATTTAATAATTAATTTAATATTTTTTTACTTGCAAAAATGAAAAATTAATTAATCTTTTAAAAGCATCCTAAAACAATGAAAATGCTTAACTTTTCTTCATTAGTCTTGAAGTAGTGCTTCAATCTCATCTTTAAAGAAGTTATACAAATTCTTTCTCTTTAGCTTCATTGAAGGTGTAATAAAATCACGTGCAGTATCAAATGGAAGGTCATGAAGAACTAACTTTTTTACTTTCTCAAATCCTTTAAGTCCAGTCTGATCAGCAACAATACTCATGTCTTTAATAATCATATCTTTGATTTCTTGTGAATGACAGATTTCTTTTTTATCAGGAAGTTCTTTACCATTAGTATCGGCCCAAATTTTAATAGATTGAAAGTTTGGTACAACAACAGCAATTAAATAATTTTTTAGTGAATTGCCATATACAAAAATATCTTGAACGTACTTACATTGGGTCATCATTGATTCTACCTTTTCAGCTGAAATATATTCTCCTTGTGATAACTTGAAAACATTGTTTTTTCTTGCAACTATTTTGATTTTTTTATCTGGTCTTATAGAAACAATATCATTGGTTGTAACAAACCCTTCTTCATCAATAACTTTTGAGTCATCTTTATTATACCCAGTAAATTGTGCAGTTGTTTTAATAAACACCTCACCACTTGGGATAGCATTATGTGTACAATACCCCATCTCAGGAACACACTTTACTTTGATCATAGAACTAACGTATGGTTGTCCAACATGATCAAGATCAATTCCATCAGGAAATACAGTAGAAGTTCCCATTCCAGTAGTTTCAGTCATACCATATCCAATAAAGAACCCATCAGAAATAACAATTCTAAAAAATTTAGCAATGTCCAATGATAATGGTGCACCTGCACAGATGATAACTCTCAAATTACCTCCAAACTTCTCAGTTACTTGTTTAAAGAAAATTTGATCAAAGGCTGGAATAATAGCAGTTGGATTTATCTTTAGTACTTGTTCTTTTATTTTCATAGCTGTAGCAAATGCCATTTGAACTGTTTTTGGTTTAGTAGCTAAGATGTTATAAACACCACCATAAATTAATTGTAACACACGAGGTACTGCAGCAAAAACAACGGGCTTTAAAACACCTATATCTTCAACTACTTTTAAATGTGTTGATGACATAAATCCAATACTCCCTCCTACTCTATACATAATAAATTCCATTACAATAGCAAAAACGTGTCCAAGTGGAAGGAATGATAATGAAGATAATTTACGTGATTGTCTTGGATAGTCTTGAAGAAGATATAGTGGTACTCTCATCCACAAAGAAGAAGAAGATGCTGATAAATTACGATATGTTAACGCAACCCCTTTAGGTGTTCCAGTTGTTCCACTAGTATACATTAATAAAGCACGATCGTCTGGAACTACTTTATGAAGTTGAGTATCTAGTTTCTTTCCTTTTTCTATTAACTCATAAAATCCAAGTTCAGTACTTTTATAGTTCATTTCTTCAGCAACAGTTTTTTCTCCGCTTGGATGAAGGTCTTCAATTAAAGTAATCGGTGCCTTAGTTGCTTGAGTAATAACTTTTAACTTTTCATCTGAAACAAACATTCTTTTGAATTCAGCATTGGTGTCAATAATTTTTAAAGAATCAACTGACAATGATTCATACAATGTAACTAAGACAATTCCAGTATACCCACAAGCTAAGAAAAGGTAATGCCACTCTAATCTTCTTTTGGAAAAGAATCCAATTACATCTCCTTTTTTCAGACCTAAGTCAAGTAACCCACGAGCCAAAGCCTTAGCAGTATCAAGTACTTCACCATATGATTTCCATTCATACTCTCCACGTTCTCCATTTGGTAAATAACTTCTTTCACCAAGGAATGGATATGAAGGATCATCTTCGGTGTAATGCTCAACAGCATCTATAGGAGTATGAATCAAAGGATGGTCATGATCAACTAATGTTTTGTTATTATACTCATATTCTTCAGGGTATATATATACGGTATGACTAGAGTGATTATCACTTTCCATTAAATATTTTTTGAGATGAGATTATATTTTCTTTTTCTTCTTTCTATAAATTTTTTTCAGGTAACTTTGAAGTAACATTATTTTTTCCATTTATTTTATTAACACATTTATAATCTCTTTCAAAAATAATTTTTGTTATTATTATAAAATATGTTGTTTTATAAAAATTTTTTTTTCAATTAAAAGTCAACATACTTAACTGGAATCACACAACCTTTGCTTGTATCATAAATTGGTGAAACACCCTTTTTAGATCTAAATTCATTTTGTTGTTCAACCATTTTTTTCATAGTATCATCATTTGGATAATATGGTGCTAAAATTTCACTGCAAAAATCGTTTAGATGGACCCATTGATCATTTATATTACGTTCAGTTCTATCATATCCAAAGAGAATATGCGCCCTACCACAAACATATTCATTTCCATAAGGTGATCCTCTAAGATCAAACCATCCATCAAAATGACTACCAAATTTTATTTTAGTGAGATCGAATGAAACAGAACCTATGATAGTGTCTTTTTTTAAAGGTTTCTTTTCAAAGAAATAAATAACAACATTTCTTCGTTCAACTCCTGGATTAATTATGAACGATGAATTAGAATATTTCTGGTCTACATCTTTACTTTCCTTTGATTTTAATAATTTACCATTATTATCTATTACACCACAAAGCAAGGTACTTGGATTCTTTCCATCTTTTGTTTTCATTCCAGTAGTTTCTAAAACATGAATACTAACAAATGGATTAGAACAATCACTAATACTTGCTTGATTAACACATTGAATGGGTCTTTGAGATTCAAAGAATGTTTGTTTATTACAGAAATCAACAATATATCGTTGATTCTTGTAATAACCAAAGGTAAGTCCTGGTGGTAATAATTCAGATTCATAATATGGGTATAATATTTGACTTGGTGTTCCATTTTCATTTTCATAAACTAATCTCTTAACATGATCAACATAGACAATCTTTCCATCTTCTAATCTAATTTTTTCAAATCCATTAACACAACGATCTGGGAATCTTGGTGCTTTTAAATTATCTAATGATGAAGTTAATATTTTTTCTATGTTACTTGCTTGGTTTTCTTCAATTAATTGAGATGACATTGGTTTAGGAGCAACTATAGTTATTGGAATATATTCTCCTTCGATACGATCAACTGGATTTATAAACTTATTAATAATTCTTATATAATGGCTATAACTATATGACTGATTATTAAATGATGGAGATATAGTCATTGGAATGACAAAACTGATTTGTTGTTGGAATGGTTCATCAATACTCTTAACACAATAAGATAAAATACTATTAGAAAAACCACCGAAAAAGAAAGAATAATGACTGACCAACTCAACCAATAATTCATCGTTTTTACCTCCTGCAAGATTTTTAATAGAACAATTTAAAGTGATTGTTTCTCCAAGAGCAAAACATTGTTTTGGTAATGATACAGTAATCTCTGTAGTTTTTAGTACAAAAGAAACTGTTTTAGGTAATGACTGTGGAACACCACCTAAATTAAAGATAACAGGACATGAAACATAACTACTTTGAACTGGCCCCTCTGAGGTATAAAGAATAGCATCAATAACATATCGAGCACGTAAACCTTTAGGTCCAAAATAAGATGCAGGTGGAAGGTCAGGTGGTGGAATAAAAGAAAACGGAAATTCATAAATTCCTGGAGGTAATTCTAAACTCATTGAATGAAGAAGTCCTGGAATTTCAAAAGTTCCAACAATTTGGTAACTACTAATAACATCATATTTACCAGCTCCAGTTCGAGTTGTAAAACCTTCAACATCAAGATTTCCAGGTTGTAAATTTGGGGTTGAAATAATTTTTAGACCAGTAGTTTCTAAACGTAATTCTATTACTCCAGATCTAACAAATGTTGGTTTTTTGACTTGATACTTAACATAACCACAATAAGTTTCACCTGCAATACCACCAGTTTGAAGAGTAACAGTAACAATAGAAGTATTGTTAGAACTACTCATAATTGCAATAATTATTAGTTTTTGAGTTTAAATAAAAGTTTAATGGTTTGTAACCATTTTAGAATAAACTATATTCTTTTGGATATAACTAACTAAAAATATATAAAAAACTTCTTCAAACATTTATCATTTCACATTCTCTTTTCTTCTTCTTATTTTGTATTAGTTTTAATTTAATTATTGAAAACATAAAAAATGTATTTCATGTATAATCTTTTTCTTCATTAGAGTTATTCTTTTTTCCTCTTTTGAATTATTATTGCTATGCCTCTAAAATTATCTAAGAACTTCTTTATTCTCTTTACCCCCTTTAAGAAGTGATAATTGTATCATTTTTTTTGTTACTTACAACAATATTTTTTTTTGAATCTTGTCCTTTTTTAGGAAATGTACATTTTTTTTTCAAAAAAAATTGTTTCTTTTTATTTAATTGGTTAATTTTAAAAACAAATACATAAAATAACTTCTATTAAGTGATAACTACGTGTCAATAACTGGAACACAACGTCTCAGATATTTTCTAAAGCATCTGTACTCCAAATTCATTATCAAAAAGTTTCATTTGCCTATCTCTGAAATAATTGATGAGAAGGCTAAATGAAAAGAAACTTAAAAAAAGTGAAGAAGATTAAACTTTATAATATACATCAATGAAAAGTCAAGCAAAGGTTAATAAACCACTTGTTCTTTGTTGATTCATTCCATACAAAATATGTTTTTACCTTCTTAAACTCATTAATAAAGTCAAATTCTCTAGATATATCTGACTGAATAATATAGTTCAAGAATTGGGTAAACTCTGGAGATAACACTATCTTTAATTTAGAAGTCCATTTCTGAATTGCTAGAATATGGCGTTGATAATTTTCTTCCCAATTCCCCTTTCTAAGGCACCACAACTTAAAAAACCGATTTAACAAAATGCCTAAGTTAAAGGCATAAACAACAACTAAGGTATATTTATTTTCATAGACTTGATCTATTCGTGTAATAAATAAAACTCTACATCTCTCAAACTCATCTTCTGATGTCATTAATGATGGAAATAATGTCTAAATTAGTTAAGTATTAATGAGATAATAATACAGAAATAAAACAAACAACACAATTTGGAACAAATCCCTTAACAACTTCTTTTATTTGACTATCATTTATTGCTTCATGAAATTTCATTCCAATTTTAAGAGATGTAATGAGGGTTTCTTCTAAAACTTCCTTTCGTTTTTCGCTATTAGTTAGAACTTCCTCATTTTTTTGATACTGAAAAATAGTAGGATCTTCAATTGTTGTATCATCACTTGTAATATCCTCTTTTGAAGCCATGATAAAATAACGTTTTAAGTTCTTGAATAAAGACTAAAAAGAGAAATTTTTTTTGTTTTTATCGGACCGATTTCCTAAAAATATATTATTTAAAAAACAAAAAATTTATAGAATTCATTTATAGTTTTATTATAATTTAATTGAATAACATAAATTTTAATAAAAGTGTTATTTAAAAAAGAAAGAATGACGAATAGAAGACAAATAAATATTTGAAGAAACTGTTTTTTTGACATTTGAAAATTGTTATGGACAAAACGACTCTCAATAAAAGAGAATTAGAAGTATGGCAAGAACAATTGTTTCAATTGAAAAGTACAATTGAAAAGAAAGAAATGGAGTTGGAACGAAGAGAGCAATTAATCAAAGAGCGAGAATCTTTTCTTACCAAACGAGAAGAAGAGTTGCACAGAAAAGAAAATGAACTTCAAGAAATTAACGAACTTCAAGACAACACT